ACAAACAAGATGAATTTTAACAGGGAGAAATGTAAAGTATTGCACTTGGGCAAAAAAATGAGAGGCACAAATACAAGATGGGGGACACCTGGCTTGAGAGCAGTACATGTGAAAAGGATCTAGGAGTCTTGGTTGACCACAAACTTGACATGAGCCAACAGTGTGACGCAGCAGCTAAAAAGCCAATGCAATTCTGGGCTGCATCAATAGGAGTATAGCATCTAGATCAAGGGAAGTAATAGTGCCACTGTATTCTGCTCTGGTCAGACCTCACCTGGAGTACTGTGTCCAGTTCTGGGCACCACAGTTCAAGAAGGACACTGACAAACTGGAACGTGTCCAGAGGAGGGCAACCAAAATGGTCAAAGGCTTGGAAACGATGCCTTATGAGGAACAGCTAAGGGAGCTGGGCATATTTAGCCTGGAGAAGAGGAGGTTAAGGGGTGATATGATAGCCATGTTCAAATATATAAAAGGATGTCACATAGAGGAGGGAGAAAGGTTGTTTTCTGCTGCTCCAGAGAAGCGGACACGGAGCAATGGATCCAAACTACAAGAAAGAAGATTCCACCTAAACATTAGGAAGAACTTCCTGACAGTAAGAGCTGTTTGACAGTGGAATTTGCTGCCAAGGAGTGTGGTGGAGTCTCCTTCTTTGGAGGTCTTTAAGCAGAGGCTTGACAACCATATGTCAGGAGTGCTCTGATGGTGTTTCCTGCTTGGCAGGGGGTTGGACTCGATGGCCCTTGTGGTCTCTTCCAACTCTATGATTCTATGATTCTATTGGCCGAGGGAGCTGGCATACAGCTTCCGGGTCATGTGGCCAACATGGCTAAGCCGCTTCTGGCGAACCAGAGCAGCGCATGGAAATGCCATTTACCTTCCCACCGGAGCGGTACCTATTTATCTACTTGCACTTTGACGTGCTTTTGAACTGCTAGGAGCAGGGACCGAGCAACGGGAGCTCACCCCGTTGTGGGGATTCGAACTGCCGACCTTCTGATCGGGAAGCCCTAGGCTCTGTGGTTTAACCCACAGTGCCACCCGCGTCCCCATGGAGTTCATAGCCATGGATAAAAGGCAGAATCCTGCTTCCCCCTTCTGCACATTTGGTGACTATGTGAACATGGAAGGGGGTATAGGGTGCTGTTGTTCTGTGACAAAATGGTAACAAAATGCAATAAATAATTTGTTTCACTTATAGCTCAAATCTTAGCATCTAAGATCGAAGCCAGCTCAATACATAATGGCACCTTCTCCTCCATTCCACATATAGATTAGCAGACTGGTGATGGGAATGGTGTCCTCCATTGCATTGCACCTAAGACATCAGGCCAGGCCAGGTGGCATACATTGGCCTGTCCTCCCACAGAAGAGAGTAGTTGGAGGGCTTTGGTGGAGCAACCAAGGGGCCGCCTCCATTGATATTCCCTGTGCAGTGAAGTGTGACAGTTGCCTTAATTTGCCCAAAGCTAGCCCTGTCCAACACCCCAGAGCTGATATGCTATTCCTTATTATTATTATTATTATTATTATTATTATTATTATTATTATTACTATATCACTCTTCATCTGAGGATCACAGGGAAGTTTAAAATACAAAAACACAAAAATGCATAATGTTGTAACAAACAAAAGCAATACCCCACCTGGTTTTATCCATCCCAAAACTCAAGATTTGGCAGGCTAGAAATCTTTTCATAGGTGATTTCACATTCATAGCTGGTATCCTTTTTACCCCCCTCAGGTGACATTGATCTTTGAACTCTGATAAAGAGAGAACCTGAAAAAGAGAGAGAGAGATATCTGCATTAGCATGATGATGTATAGGAGATCTGACCATTTGTCCTGTAATATGACTGCATATTCTCTTTTGTATAATGTTATAGTTTTCTCTTTATAGCATCCTTTTTTAATTAAAAAAAAATCTCTGACATGTATATTTAGTACCTTTCTGCACAATGGAAACCCATGCATTAAAAGATACAAACAAATGTCTTGGTATGAGTTACTGGCACAGCAAGGAGAACATGCCAAATGAAAATGTTCCATCTGCTAAACCGTTACCTCACTTTTAATTGTGGAGAACAAATAATGCAAATTAGAATTCACATTTGCAAAAAAAATCTGGCATAACATTCATCCTATTCTTTCAGTGTCTCAGAAAACACTATTTAGGATATTGCAGAATTCTAGGATAATTCTATCCTTTTCCAATGTATTCCGCCTTAGTCCTTTGGAGCCATTCTTAAGTAGCTTATGAAAGCAGGTTCAAAACAGCATATTATCTGAGCCTTCAATTTTTGGTATCTGAGCAGAAACTGTTGGCAATTGTGTTTTTGACAGTAACAAGACATCCTGTAACTCAAGAGTCTCAGGCATTCTGTTCTTCTGTCACTGAACTGAATGAAAACATATTTAAATGGGGGTGGGTGGGATCCCTGTTAATTTTTCCCTTCATTCAAATGGCAGGGTGCGGGGTAAGAGAAGAACATCTCACTTTTGCCAGGATCTTAGAGGGGAATGACAACAAACTGGTGAGGCAAAGAAAGATCATCTTCCATCTTCCAAGGATTAATCTAGAAAGAGCAAAATGAATGTGAAATAGCTTAATGCCATTTTTGCAAAAGAAGGGGCAGGAGAATTATAAAGTAAAGGCTCCCCTCAATTTTTTCTCTGTTTTGCATGCACAGATTTTCCTGTTTGATGTTTCCATTCACCATTGAAGGTAATAACTGAGTAGAACTAATAATTTTGATATAATTGCCTATGATTCTCCTATAGCAGTGATTAAGGTTAAATTATTATTAGCTCTCTTGAATGTTGCTTCAAAGTGGCGCAATGCCTGTGAGCACAGTTTTCCATTGTAGGTCTGCCTGGTACACCAAGGAAGCTATAGATGGTGCTGTTTTCTTTTCCTGTGATTTCCAGCGAAGCATTCAAGAAATCCTAACCAGGCACCCAGCTGGTTTCTTGGACAATATCCAAATTGGCTTTGTGTAAAAGAGAAGGGTCACTTGATTCACTGGAAAATATATCAAGATAGGGAAATATTATATGTTTTCCCTTGTGAAGTACAGTACAAACATTTGCCTTATTGCCTAACTATTGTGGTGATAATGGTGACACCACTAAACTCTGTCACAGCACTGATGTGCATGCAGGTTGTGATTTGCCACGAAGTAGAAAAATGTTCAAACTGAGAGGTGATCCAGATAGTTGTGAGCTTTGATTTTGACATGTTCTTCTCCTTCTCCTTCTCCTTCTCCTTCTCCTTCTCCTTCTCCTTCTTCCTTCTCCTTCTTCCTTCTCCTTCTCCTTCTCCTCCTCCTTCTCCTCCTTCTCCTTCTCCTTCTCTGGCCATCACTTGTAGCTGAGTAAGACTGTCTTCCATGAAAATGGTCTTAACAGTGAGTCCGTAAGTGACTGTGGGGGCCAATTTGAATCCACCCATCCTTCCACAGTGGGGACATAGGTTTCTGGGAGGGAGTTGATCACAGTGAGGGTTTTCCAGACATGCCTTCCTCTTGGCTTGTTTCTCCTTTTTGCCCTGAGTTTGTGCTTCTTCAAAGTCCATGACACCTTTGGTAAAGGCTGTTCTCCAGTTGGAGCACTCTCAGGCCAGTGTTTCCCAGTTATCAGTGCTTATACTACATTTTTTCAGATTTGCTTTGAGAGCGTCTTTAAACCTCTTTTGTTGTTGCTTTTTGGGAGTAGAGTAGTTGTTTTGGGAGACAATAATCAGGCATCCAAACAACATGACCAGTTCAATGAAGTTGATGTTGAAGATCATGAACAAAGTTCCCACATTGCTGGCTGTCGCATCTCAGCAACTGTCAAGCTCCAGACAATGAGGGAGTGTTCCAAAAAATGACAAGGGCTGAGTTCTGGAACAGCAAATATAATCAGAGGGAGTACTTACCACTCAACATTCTTGATTTGAGTGGAACATTCTGGAATTACAGAAATCATCACGACTTCTGAGTAGTTCCTGGAATGTCCCATTTTTTGCTCCAGCGCTCTGGCAAGTCACCTGGATTATGCCAGAGTACCAGACCAAAAGACACTCAGTTTTTGGGTCTCACACTCTCACACAAGTCACCTAACTTCATTTCAAGTTTATTGCGGCCAAAGCCAGTGACACTAAACACCATAAGATCAGACAACAAGAAAACAGCAACAACTTTAGAAAAGAAAAAAGGTTACACAAGAGAACTTCCCAGTGTGCCATTCAACAGAAGAGATTTACGCTTCTTAATTACTAAAGTGCAAAATTTAGCCACCTCATATGATACTGAGCTTGAGGAATCTTCCAGGAGGTATTTTCGAAGAATTTCAGGGAGGATTCCAAATAATATTGAAGGGGTATAAATTTTGATAGAAGTGGTAAAATAAGTTGAACTCGTTCTTCACTATAGAATTCGCAAGATAGAAGAATGTGTGTGACAGATTCTACCTTATTAGACATACAAGGGCAGAGACGCGCATGCATTGGAACTCGCGTGAATTTGCCGTACAGCACTGCTGAGGGCATTGTCTCAAAGCGGGCTCTAGAGAAAGCCCATCTATAGGTTTCGTTAGTGATGTTAGTTAAGTAAGGGGCAGCTACAAAATTAGGCCAAGCTTTTAAAGATCTATACGTCTCTGGGAGTAGGGCGCCTTCTTGTTGTAATTCGATATCATAAAGTCTCCGAGTGATAGTAGCTTTGCCTTGTTCAGAGTTCCAATAAAAATATTTTCAGGGTTTAGGCCAATTTGTTTGATCTTGTTAGTTATTTGCAAAAGCCAAGGAGGATAGGGAACTGCAGCCAGGAAGCAAGGTAATAACCCCTTAGGATTGTAATGGATTTTCAGCCAGAGGGATATTGCTTGTTCCCAGACTTTTAATTCCACTCTGGGCAGTCCTGCCTCTTGCCTTAAGACTGCATTAGGTGTACACTTAGGAGTAGCAAATAATGATCTTAAGAATTTAGATTGTACTGTTTCAAAGGTCTTAAGGTTGGCAGAGGGGCTAATTTGAGAGCCATATAGAAGTTGGGCTAAAGATTTTGCCTGAAAGACTGTTAGGGCCATCGGGAGGAAGCCAGCTCCTTTCCTTCTGAATAATCTAAGGATAGCATTTGCACTTCTTTCTGCTGATATAGCTGATGTGGTCAAGTGTGTTGAGAATTTGGCATTATAAGAGAAAGTAATGCCTAAGTATTGGAAGGTCTTAGTCTGTTCAATGGCGTTTCCCTTTACGCTCCAATTATCCTTCCTAAAGGAGCGGTTAAAATGTACAATTTTGGTTTTGGCAAAGTTAATTGTTAACAGTTCAGTGTTACATTGGTCACTAAACTTTCCTAAGGCACGTTTCAGACCCACTTTGGTTTGAGAGAGAAGAACAGCGTCATCCGCATACATTAAAATTGGTACTTTTCTGCCATTAGAGAACACAGGGGGGTGGGTTTCAATTTCACGGCAGCATGTAACCAGGGAGTTAACATAGATATTAAATAGGAATGGGGCTAATAGGCATCCTTGTCTAACTCCTCTTTGGACTAAGATTTCTCTAGAGAGTCT